GCAGAACTTACTGGCTGTCAACTCAGCAACTATGAAATTTCTTGAGCCTTGGTGGCAGTCTCATTGGTAATAGATCCTTTAATTCCACGAGTAAGTGATTGACATCAGAATTTCAGAAAAAAAAAATGGATTCAAAAACGTATTTTCTAAAAAGTTATCTATCTTCAGGCAAAGGGGAGGTACATAAATAAGTACTCCCAGGTACAAGGGGGGTTGATACTAGGAGAACTTAAATCTCAGTATTCCATGGCAGTATGAGCAGCAGTGTGAGATTTCAAAATACATAAAATAAATATACAACTAAGTATCAATAATTAAAACCTTGATGAAACAATACATTTGCATACATGCAAATAACAAATTTCAGTTTTTGGAAGGTGTTTTACATATATTCATGTGATGACATTTGGCAAAGTTCACTCACGACTTTTCCATAGCTATTTATAGATTAGGGTAAGGGGGAGCAGCTCTAAACATCCGCCTCTCTCACTGCCTCACAGCATAACTTTGGCAGCCTCACGTCCACAATGCTGATGTTTCCGTGTTTGGGTCTTAAGCACACACATCAGGATTAAGGGTGGAGGGTCTTCCTATCACAGCATTTGGGCTGAATTGGATACAGAGGATGTAAATAACATTCAGGTGAGTAAAGGTTGGCATGATCTGGAAGGAGCCCTAGAGCTCAAATACAAGAAAAACCTAGGAGGACCTCAGGGGTGTCTAAGGGAAGGGAGTAGGCAGAGTGAAAGTTGTGGAAGAGGAGAATCTAGGATTATTTTCAAGAGAAAGAAATGGTTTGCTGCTTGGAAAAGAGATTTGGTTAAAGGAGACTTAAGATTTTAAAAGCTGATCCTGCACTAATGTTTCACCCAAGTCACCCTCGATGGGCGTATTGTCAAAAGCATATGCACAGTCATAATCACCTTATATTTATATATCTTTTTATTTTTTCTTATATTCTGAGACTATAAGATAATTACATCATTTCTACTTTACCTTTCCCCTCTCCATACTCTCTCATATAACTTTCCTTTCTTTATTTCAAATTCATGGCCACTTTTTAAATTAATAGTTGTTATATGTATANAAACCTGCTCAGTCTGTATAATATTATTTGTGTGTATGTTTTCAGGACTGGCCATTTGGTACTGGATACACAATTAGTGTTTCCTTCCTTGGATAAGCCAACAGTTCTCTAGTTACTTTGTCGTAAGTTAGTTGCTTTAGAGTGAGATTTGAATAGGTTGCAAAGGACAGCAGCTTTGGATTCCCAGCTTTCTAACTCAGGGCTATTGTTAACTCAGATAAATTAATACAATTCGGCTAGTTAAAAATCAGCTTACAGAAAATTGTCCAATTCAATAATTCATACATGCTTTTATGCCTACTTACAAATTGAGATATTTTTCCACTAATTACACTTCTCTACATTAATTACACAAAAAGAATTTGAACATTTTGTCTCTTGGTATAAGTTTAATATTTTAATTCCCTGTTCTTGAAAAAGTGATACTCCACAAATTCTAATTTTGTACAAAAAAACTGTTACACGCACTCAGAAGGTTGAGGCAGTATGTTTGCTGTGAACTTAAGGCCAGCCTTTTGTACAGAGTGAGGCCCTGTCTCCGTATGCACACACACACATGCAAATACACACTCATACATGCACACACAGATGCATACACATATAATTTCATCTTTCTGAAAATGTAATCATGAAGATTGGTTTGTTTTAAGAAAATATATTTACACATTGTATATTATTTACAATATTTAATAAATATATAAATAAAACATGCAAATATGGAAACAAATTAAAAATTTTCACAATGTGTAAATAATACACTAACATAAAAAAACAAAAAGAAAATATGTAGCAATATTCATAGAAAATGATAAAAAAAAGTCAACATTTTCATTGAAAACAACAGGGAAAAAATTTAGTGTAAGAACAAATTTCACAATCTGATGTTCTAGTCTTATATCACCATAAGATAAGCCTGAATTCTAATTAAAATAGGATTTTCAGATAAACAGCTCTATATAGTCTTTTGTTTACTGTTCTATTTGTTCTTTACAATTTTTTTTTAAAGTAAGCCTCAAGGCAAATTTCACAGTTTACCTTTCACGATTTCATCATCAAAGTATCAACTTGCTGGTTATGCTGGTTGGTGTGTCATTGTAGTTCTATCTGAGCAAAATCAAACATCTTTGTTCCCTTACTCCCATTACAGGGTTATAATGGCAATGACTTTGAATATATAGCAACAATTAGTGTGACATTCATCTCTTTGGAATAATTGAATCTAACCTGGTAACAGTCACACTTACTTTATAAGCACTTAATCATTACTTCCAGAAATGTTCTGTGTCAAGGTGTGAACACTAGTTTGGTACAGGAAGATTCTCTACACACTAGCAAAAGGGGAATGCAATCACCATGACTGCCAGGAACTCTTCTTCTATAATGGTGCACTACCTGAAAGATATGTTAGGCTGATGATGGCACAGAGCTGGTGTGAGAACCAACCAATATTTGGTTTTACTTAAAACGAACCAATATTTGATTTTACTTAAGGCACATCCCGCAAAAGGAAAACTGGTATTGCCTGTGTGACCAAGAACCTGAGAGTAAATAGCACGAGGACCTAGGGTAACATCAGATATTCCTGGTCTAGCAAAAGAACCGTCATGCCCAGGGTCTGCACAGGTCTACATGAAGCCCTTTGTGCTTATATGGTGGCTTCCAGGTGAGTGGTTTTGTGGGATTCTGTGAATGAGTGAATGTCTGTTTTTTGTACCATTTCTTGCACATTCCCTTCTTTTGTCTTGTCTTGTCCAAATTCAGCATGATGGTCTTGCTTCAACTTATTACACTTTATTTTGTTACTTTAAAAACACGAATGAACGAATGCATGCATGCATGCATGAATGAATGAATGAAAACTTAGCCACTAGAGTAAAAGTTAAAAAACAGAAGAACTGTCATTTGTATCTGTTGGGAGAGGAAAATTAGTTCTTTTCAATGGGGTGACATTTGGGATTCAACCACTCCAGAGCAGGTCTCAGGTTCAGGAGTTGTTGACCAACATATTATGGACCCCACAGTCCCCCTCCTCCTTGGTTTTGTTATGATATTGATTTTTTGTCTGATTTTAGAGGAAGAATTTAAAGTTGGGTAGGCAAGTAGGGGAAAAGGAACAGATTTGGAAGGACTTGAGGGAGGGGAAGAATATGATCAAAAGATATTTAAATTTAAAATTGTTTTAAACAATAAAATATAATAAAATGTAAGGAAATCCTAGCTTAACTTGATTTTATCCTTGTCTACTCATTTAAGAGGAGTTTAACATGGCACACTGAGCACAGGAAGACAAGCTGGCAGCTGTAAACATGACTTTTAATACTAGACAGTGTTACCAGGCATGGATGGTGCAAGGCTTTAATCCCAGCACTCAGGAGGCAGGGAGGCTGAGGCAGAGGTAGGCAGATCTCTGAATTCCAACCCAGTCTGGTTTACACATTGAGTTCTTGGACAGACAGGGCTGAGAAACCCTGACTCAAACAGCCCTGGGGAATGTGAAAGGGCAGCCAGTACTTAGTTAGCTAAGTCTGTGGATTATACTGTAAATTACTATTATAACACAGAGAAAAAGGCAGCTAGACAAAAGGGCAAAGCTGACTGGCTCTTTCTGTAGACTTCTGTTTCTTGTAGTGTGAATTAGTGAGTAATATTAGTCCAGTAATTAAAATTTGACTCTTAGAATATAGCATCTTTTTATTTTTATTTTTTTTATTAAGAAAAGGAAAAAAAATTCCGCCTCCTCCCAGCCTCCCATTTCCCTCCCCCTCCTCCCACCCTTCCCCCCCCCCCCCCACTCCTCTCCCCCTCCCCCTCCAATCCAGAGAGCAGTCAGGGTTCCCTGCCCTGTGGAAAGTCCAAGGTCCTCCCCCCTCCGTCCATGTCTAGGAAGGTGAACATCCAAACTGGCTAGGCTCCCACCAAGCCGGAACATGAAGTAGGATCAGAACCCCTTGCCATTGACCTTGGCTTCTCATCAGTCCTCATTGTTCGCCATGATCAGAGAGTCC